TAATACCCTCCACCATAGATATACTGACAGTTGCTTGAAATGAAAATATAGGGAGAATACTAAAAAGTGGACTCATACAAACTTTTGTACAAATCGATTATGTAAACCATATCCTCCGCAGGTGAAATGATTACAACATAGTCTTAGAACCAAACCCAAAACGCGGAACCAATTAGATAACTATTTTAATATAAAAAAGGGGGTTATATGGGGACTACCCGAAAAAGGGGGCGAATATTAATAATTTTTGGTGAGGAGATTTGTTACCATATACGACTACAAAATACCGAATTGCAACGCACTCGGTGGAAAAAACGAGCTCAAGAACCCCTAAATACCGAACAAGTGAATAGATATACTCACAGGTACTCCACCATAGATATACTCACAGGTACTAGAAATGAAAATATAGGGAACATACCAAAAAGTGGACCTATACCAACATTTCTATGTAAACTATAATACAAATTCCAGAAATTTTTAATGGATAATTATACCCTCAGCCTTATGGCTAATGAGGGTGTACACAATTTACACCGTGAAAATGTGCCTCATCGAAATATTGGTTCTAGACCCCATGTTTCTTTAGACCCAATCCGTTTCAGAAAATTTACATTTCATCCAAACTTTGCCAATCTTATTATTTCTTCCAAACTTTGTTCAAATTCGAAGATGGGGAATATCGGTCCACTTCTTCTGGTACCTCCCACACAGGGGCTAGGTTTAAATATGGGTTATAGTTCATATATAGTTCATTATAGAACCTTACGTTCTAGTTTTTTATCTCGATATCCTCCACAGATGATATAGTTACAACAGAGTCTTAGAACCAAACCCAAAACGCGGAACAAATTGCATAACTATTTTAATATAAAAAAGGGGTTATATGGGGACTACCCCAAAAAGGGGGTGCATATTAAAATTTGTTTGTAGAGAAATTTGTTACCATATTCGACTACAAAATACCAAATGTCGGCGAATTCGGTTGAAAAACGTGCTCAAGAACCTCAAAATAGCGAAAATTGGGGGTACCCTTATATGGGGGCTACCAGAAAAATTGGACCTATATTTATAATTTTTGGTGGAGATATTTGGTACCTATTAAGAACTCAAAATACTAAATTACAGCAAATTCGGCGGAAAAATACGTTCAAAACCCCCAAAATATTGAAAATTAGGAGGTATCGTTATATGGGGGCTACCAGAAAAAGTGGACCTATATTTATAATTTTTTGTGGAGATATTGAGTGCCCAATAAGAACCCAATATACCAAATTTCAGCGAATTCGGTTGAAAAACGCGCTCAAGAACCCCAAAATATCGAAAATATGGGGGGTACCCTTATATGGGAGATATGCCTAAAAGTGGACCGATAAAGCCCATCTTCGAACTTGACCTGCCTGCAGACAAAAGACGCAAAAATTTCAAAATTTTGGCAATCTATCTTAATTAGTTTCGACGCTAGAGTGATTACAACAGACGGACATGAATTTTACGCTGATCAAGAATATATGTACTACATAGGGTCGGAAATGATTATTTCGATGTGTTACAAACGGAAAAACAAAACTAATACTATGGTGGAGGGTATAAAAAGTGGACAAATATTGTTTATTTTTAGCGTGAAGATTTGCCACCCAGCGAGAATTTGTGTTCTCAAATTACAGCTGATCAGGTGAAAAATACCCAAAAGCTCAAAAATACCGAATATGGAGGGGGTAGCTTTATATGGAGGCTACCCCGAAATATGTGCCAATATTTATAATTTTTCGTAAAGAGATTTTCTGCTAAATGAGAATTCCTAATGTTAAAAAAAATTCTTTTGAAAAAATCTTCAAAACCCCGATTTTTGGAGGTCACTGCAACATAAGCCTACATAATTTGTAGTGGGAAGATATTTTACTCGCTTCAAGGAAGGCCGAGAAGATAGTGATTTGAAGGTTTTGCTTTCTGTTTTATTCGTCTGAAATGGTGTGGTGCATCATGAATTCTAGAAGTTATGCGCCGTTAGTGCACAACAATTCGTTGGAAAGGCACAGAATTGTGGAAACCACATTTATGGATATAGCACCACAGCAATGCACTAGCTTGCAGATCGTTTCCACGGCAGAGGGGTCTACGATTCGAAACGACCCGAGTCTTACTCGGGCAACGTCTGTCACTTCAGTCCATTGTGTAAAAGTAATAGGGCTGCTACAGCAACAACAACCAGCTCACAGATGATTCAAACACAGTACGCACAGGGTCCAAACCAGCTGATTTTTTCATACACCACAAAGGAAAGCAATCGATGGGAACGACAACATTTTTGGAACTAAACAAAAAAATTATGTTAAAATATTGAAAATTGACTATTTATCATTTTCATTAAATACATAATATAAAATGTTTATCTACTGCCGAAGAAATATTTAATTCATTTAAATTTTAACATTTTTATAAAATATGTATGTGTAATATTATACAAATACAATTTTGTTTTCTATATATAATATTTTTTTTATTTCGTTGAAATTTATTTGTGTTAGAATTAAATGTACTTACCTACTAAATATTTATTTTTATCTTAAATTAGATTTTTTAATTTTTGTTTTATTCTTATAAAATGTTAACATTTGTTGTAATACTGATATACATGTGTTTGTGTGTGTGTGAGTGTCTGTACAAATATTAAAAAAATACTATAATTGGAATTGGAAAAAAATGATATAAATAAAATAAAATTACATTAAAAATTAATTATTATACAAATTTGGTGGAAAACTTCTATAGTTGGATAAACTTCTTCAGGACAAAATTGCTTTATTTATAGTTATTTATAGATTATTTTTTAAAAGTGAACTAAGTCGTTCACCTCGTTCAGTTGCTTATATCGTTCAAATGGTCATTCAGTTCAATTGGCATGACAGCGCATTCCAGTTAAGTTCTGGCAGTTCCACCAGCCGTATAGAACGATGACCTTTCACAGTCATTCGAAGGTCTTTCTTATCTATTTTCTCCACTTTGGTGGTGGTCGATGGCATAACCCCGTTATATTCGCCTTTCAGTTGGTCAAAATCAATGCACCTGAGAACAACACTGAAGGTGTAGAAGAAAATACAATGTGGTTCAGTGACCGATGACGTTCATTGAGCAAAGACGTTCAGAGACCGACTGCGTTTGGTAAACAAAATCGTTCAGTGAACGACAATAATAAAACTGAACTATGTCGTTCACTCGTTCAGTGGACTGATCCGTTCCATTGAACTAGGTCGTTCACGAACGACACAAGACTACTATCCAGTGTAATGTGTGAACGATTGACAAGGACATTATTGGACCATACCAATGCGGCGGCTTCAGACCTGACAAATTCACCATTGACCACGAAGACTCACGACTCACCAAGACTCACGAAAAACACATCGACACATACCACCGATTCGTCGACTATAAAGCCGCATTCGACAGCCCTATCCGTTCAGAGCTGTTTAAAGCCATGTCTACGTTCGGCATTCCTGCAAAATTAATACGGCAATGCATGATAACTTTATGTGACACAAAGACAGCAGTTAAAGTCAGAAGGGACCTATCGGAGCCCTTCAATACCGAACGAGGATTCAGACAAGATGACAGTTTGTCGTGTGATCTTTTCAACATCCTGGGTCTGGCAGTAAACGGCGAGAAAACTAAGCTGATGGTATTAACGCGCAAGACGTCCAGTAGACTCGGACCAACTGTGGAACTCGAGAACTACAGTTTCGAGGTAGTTAAAGATTTTATATACCTTGTTACCGCCATAAATAAAAGGAATGACATCAGTTTTGAAATTCGGAGAAGGATTGTGATGGCCAACAGATGCTACTATGGTCTAAGTAAGCAGTTTAGAAATAGACCAAACTCAGCAGACCAAACTCACACTTTACAAGACGCTAATACTACCCGTGCTGGTATATGGATCTGAAGCATGGGTACTTGCGCAAGCAGATGAGGCAGTTCTGGGGGTGTTTGAAATAAAAATTCTCCGAAAAATTTACGGGCTGATCTGCGTCGACGGTGAATACCGGCGTAGAATGAACCATGAGCTTTACAATTTATACGCGGATATCGACGTAGTCTGCAGCGACTATTATGGCTAGGCTGCAGGTGCAGCGACTACGATGGCTAAGTCATGCTCTGCGAATGAATGAGAATGCCCTAGCTCAAAAGGCATATAAAAGCGAGCCAACTGATGGTTCCCGTAGAAGGGGAAGGCCACGAATTAGATTGAAAGACAAAGTAGAAGACAACATCTTGGAACGTAGTCTTTCAAATTGGAGGAGATGCGCACAAGGCCGACGCGCTTGGAAATCTTTTTTGAGATCGGCTTATGGGAAAATAATATTTTTTATCATTTTATTATTATTTTTTAAATTTCCCTAAAGAAAATTTAATTATAATAAAAATTAAACAAACTTGTGTATATGTATTCCCATTTGTGTGTGTGTGTGTGTGCTTCTTGTGTTAATTTGTGTTCTATAACCTATACATAAAATACGTATATTTATATTTCTTGTTTTAATATGTCTGTTGCTTTTTCTTTCTTTCTTACAAACTAATTTTAAAAAATAAATTACTTTTTGATCTTCATCAGTGTAATTCAGAATCATTTCTTTTGGCATTGTACACTGTACATTTGTATTTTTAATTTTTATTTTTGTTTTTACTTTTTTGTTAATTTAAAATTTACAGCCAATTTTGTTTATGTGGGGGTTCGAGATTATTCCCTTTTTGTGGTTTACTTTTAAGCAAATGAAGTCTACTTTTAGGCGTTTTTCTAAAAAGATAAAACTTTTTTCAATTTTTAGCATTCCTCTTAGCATTTCTTTCAAAATTTTTATTGCATTTTATACTAATTTTTCTAAATACAAAAATATCTAAATTACAAATTAAATTTTCTATTCTTGAGTGCCTGTGTGTGAGTGAAGCTTCTTTTACACAACAACTATTCCATGTGATGGTTACTCTTCCGCTATCTCTCCCTCCAATCACATGGTGTGTGTACGAGCCATCACACTATGCCTCCGAGACTATGTGAATAGACTACGTCATAATGAGATCAATTGGGCTTTACGTTGTGACTCCAGTCGAATCTCAAGCATTGCGTAGGGCAGTACGCTTACCACAAGCATTATGACTAGGGATATAATTTTCGGTGTTTCACACATATAACCGTGGGCGGCAAATGTTATGCCGAGGCCCAAAAAACGTAGAGCTTGCAATGGAGATGTTACTTCCACCACATGATTGGTATGGTTAAGGGTAACCAATGCAAGTAATAGGGTTTCCCACATGCCATTGCATGCACCCCAGGAGGCGGCCAGGACATAGAACAGGGCACTATCATCACTCGATGGTTTCCAGGTTGAGAGAGCCAACAGCAGGCAGGAATGGAAAAAGAAACCAGCCACTGAAATGAAAAAGAGGGAAATATTAAAAATATTTGTGTAGACATGGATGTTGAATTATTCAAAATTAGAGGTCTGAGGTCCACTCAATCCCAACCATCTACAGGTGCTATAGAGGAACTACATGCAACCAAGAACTCTTATTAATGAATATAAAATATTATTCTAGAATACCCAAAATATTTCTTAAGAAATATTTGGCGCCCAATGAGGGGTCCAACATAAAACCAGTAAGGAAAATAGTAAAGTCGGACGGGGCCGATTTTCACGAAATTTAACACACATTTACGCTGTGCCAAATTTCGTGCAAATTAAAAAAATATATAGGGACCCTTCACCACTTTGGGTATATTTTTTAGATCGAATCCCAACAGACGTCGCATTTTTGAAGGACCATTAACATGGAATTAAACATTTCATTCAGCAACCTATACAACATTTTGGTCAGGTATAGAGTTGCTTCTTACAATGGGATAAAATTATGTAAATACATTTAAAACAAAATATCGAAATCTAAACCAATTTTCACGAAATTTAACACACACACATCGAAGAATTTATAGGGACATTGGTGCACTATTTACCTAAAACCGGACGAAAATATACATGGGAGCTATATCTAAATCTGAACCGATTCTCACGAAATTTATCACACATCATTCCAGACTTAATTCAGAACGCTATGCTAAATTTCGTGCAAATCGAAGAATTTATAGAGACTTTAGTGCACTATTTACCTAAAATCGGACGAAAATATATATATGGGAGCTATATCTAAATCTGAACCGATTTTCACGAAATTTAACACACACATTGTTCTAGACTTAATTCAGTACGCTATGCCAAATTTCGTGCGAATCAAAGGATATATAGGGACTTTGGTGTACCATTTACATAAAATCGGTCGAAAATATATATGGAAGCTATATCTAAATCTGAACCAATTTTCAGGATACTTTACACACATCATTCAAGACTAAATTCAGAACGCTATGCCAAATTTCGTGCAAATCGAAGGATATATAGGGACTTTGGTGCACCATTTACATAAAATCGGACGAAATTATATATGGGAGCTATATCTAAATCTGAACCGATTTTCACGAAATTTAATACACATTGTTCTAGACTTAATTCAGTACGCCATGCCAAATTCCGTGCAAATCGAAGGATATATGGGGACTTTGGGGCACCATTTACCTAACATCGGACGAAAATATACATCGGAGCTATATCTAAATCTGAACCGATTCTCACGAAATTTAACAAACATCGTTCTAGACTTAATTCAGAACGCTATGTCAAATTTCGTGCGAATCGAAGGATATATAGGGACTTTGGTGCACCATTTACATAAAATCGGTCGAAAATATATATGGGAGCTATATCTAAATCTGAACCGATTTTCACGAAATTTAACACACATCGTTCTAGACTTAATTCAGAATGCTATGCCAAATTTCGTGCAAATCGAAGGATATATAGGGACTTTGGTGCACCATTTACAGAAAATCGGACGAAAATATATATGGGAGCTATATCTAAATCTGAACCGATTTTTCCCAATTTCAATAAGGCCAAGAAAATTGAATAAAATCAAAATATTTACAACTTACATATAACCACAATGCGCTTCGTATGCCGCAATAGCATGCTCAAGGTGCAGGAGACAATCAGTTGCATTACACCCATACCAATAATGGCGCCAGCTACCATGCTAATACCCAGCGAGCAGGATACAAAGGCCTAAACAAGAAAATAGCATTTAATAAATTTCACACGAAACCCCTTTCAACAGTTCCGTCTTACCGTCAAAAAATCACTCAGAATATATGCCTGTTCGGTGCCAATAAAATACGCCAATGGCCCAGCAAACAGCAAGGTATCTGTCATACCCTTAATACGTTCATGGCGAAATGTGGCATGCACCTTGCCAGCCAATACTAAAAGTATGATTGAAATCAAGGCAAATATCAGATAGATCCCAATCAAAGTCGATGATCCTGCCCTCGGTTTCTCTCTTATAAATGGTGAAAAAATGGTTTCATTAATTTCATCATCTTCAGCGGCTGCATCAAATTGCCATAGGGGACACATATCGGCACCACATATGCGGCTACCATGTTCATCCAAATTGTAATATTCACTTTTATATGGTGAACCACGACTCCAGACATAGGGTGTACTGGGTATATAGAATTGTACAGCCTGGGCTTGAGGCAAGGTGTTATTTGCTACAGATGGTGGTGGTGGCGCTGGCGGTGATGCCACTGATGTTGATTCTGTTGTTGTAGTGCTAACTGTGCTTGTTGTTGTCTGTGCTGCTGTTGTGGTGACTGGTATTGGTTTCGTATGACCCAAACAATTCCAATCACGTGAGGTACACGACAAAACCATTGATGCAATAATGGCGCCCAATATTATACCAATATCCTTTGAGGCCTGGAACCAACGTCCCAGTCTACGTACTTTCTGATCACGATTACACGACAACTTATGTTCCTCCCATGAATCAAGGGCGTGTGACGACATCAACGTACACTCATGTTGTGAACAACTAAGCTTGCTACCAAAATGCACTACAACAGCTATTTTACTTATCCACGATGGACTATGGGTTAGCCCCAGTATCATATAGGCCGGCAGTAATGTGTATATCGATGGATACAGATGACATATTAAAAATAAACACACAGCCACTGAATTGACACCCATTAACACGGTATAGCCAAATTTGCGAATAAGTTTTGGCGTCACCAAAGACATACCCGCCGATATGAACAAGCAGATACTGAGGAGTAGCGATCCAATATTTGGTCCAATTTGCAGCCATTGTTCACGATGATGCCATACGGAATTGGAACCTTGCAGGGCAAATATCGGCACGAGTACAGCACACATTAGACCATGGGCCAATGCCAGGAGGGTAAAACATTTTGTCACCTTCTGTCGAATGTGGGCCGGCACTTTATAACGACAATTGCGATTATTGAGAGAAATCAGGCGTCGTATAGATGTGGCACCTATGGAGCTGTTTATTGATTCGCGTCGACGTGATGCAGCCAAAGCGGCTTGTACATGATATGACGATACAGGATTGACACGGTGTGACCTGGTCGAGATGGGTGAATAGGCTGGCAGGTGCTGAAATAAAAAAGGAATTAAAAGGTTCAGAAACATCAGGTACTGGAAGGAATATGCCGATTTTAAGGGTATTTTAAAAGTCAGGATAAAAATCAGGATGAGAGGATATATATTCGTAAAACTATTGTGAAATTTTCATATTGGGAAACCGACCAATTATTCAGAATAGTTTTGTATTTCAAAAATTTTTAAGCCTGATTTCAGATTGTTGTTTGTTAAAATTCTTTCTTAAGTATTGCGAAATATATCACGATTTTAAGATACTCGATCATAACTAAATCGATATAAAATTTTATTCCGCTTATTACGAGGTGTTGAAAATGTAATGACAGAATTAATATGCACTGGAGGGTATAAACATGTAAAAAAGTCTTCACGTTGGTCCGGGTCCTATTTAAAATAAATATGTTATGGCATTATGTGGGAGTAGGATGATCATGCTCTTAAAAAATCGAAAATTCTAATTTTTGGTTTTATTAGGAAGATTTTCTATCCAGCGATAATCAAATCAGGCCCCTCTAAAAAAAAACAGTAAGGAAAGAAGTAAAGTCCGACTGGACCGACTATATGATACCCTTCACCACTTTGGTATATTCTACATATATATCCTAATAGACGTCGCCTTTCGAAGGCATATTGACATGAAATTGAACGAACTTAAATATGTGATCTTTATCTATATGTAAACCGACTAACATCAATCCGTACATATATTCTCAAACCTATGCTAAGTTTCATTTCATTCCGGCAGATTTAGAGTCGTTTGCGTACAATAGGATAAATTTATGTAAATCGATTTATAGCACACTTGATACACGCTATTCGGTAATCCGCACTGTTCAAAATTTAATCTCAATGAGGCACCCGTTCGAAATACATATGGAAGCTATGTCTGCATCTGCACCAATTTCAACAAAACGTAATAACGTCATTCTAGTCTCAATTTGATACGTTGTGCAAACTTTCATGTCAATCGGACAAACATTAGGAGTTTGGTGCACCATTTACCTAAAATCAGACGATATTATATATGGGAGCAATATCTAAATCTGAACCAATCTTCACGAAACTTAGCACACATCATTCTTGACTTTATATAGGGTGTTTGGTGCACCATTTACATTAAATCAAACGAAAATATATATGGAAGCTGAACGAGCTGAATTCAGTACGATGTGCCAAATTTCGTGCAAATCGGAAGATTTATAGGTGCACCATTTACCTTAAATCGGACGAAAATATATATGGGAGCTGTATCTAAATCGGCATCTATTTTTACCAAACTTTGAACACATAAGTCTAGGCCGAATTTAGTACGCTGTGCCAAATTTCGTGCAAATCGGATGATTTATAGGGACTTTGGTGCACCATTTATCTTTAATCGGACGAAAATATATATGGGAGCTGTATCTAAATCGGCACCGATTTTTACGAGACTTTGCACACATCAGTCTAGGCTGAATTCAGTACGCTGTGCCAAAATTCGTGCAAATCGGAAGATTTAAAGGGACTTTGGTGCACCATTTATCTTAAATCGGACGAAAATATATATGGGAGCTGTATCTAAATCGTAATTTCACCGATTTTTGCACGAAAACTTTGCACACATCAGTCTAGGCTGAATTTATGGTTCAAATTTCGTGCAAATCGGAAGATATGGCTGACTTTGGTGCACCATTTATCTTAAATCGGACGAAAATAAATATGGGAGCTGTATCTAAATCGGCACCGATTTTTACGAAACTTTGCACACATCAGTCTAGGCTGAATTCAGTACGCTGTGTCAAATTTCGTGCAAATGGGAAGATTTATAGGTGCACCATTTACCTTAAATCGGACGAAAATATATATGGGAGCAATATCTAAATCTGAACCAATTTTTACGAAACTTTGAACACAAAAGTCTAGGCCGAATTTAGTACGCTGTGCCAAATTTCGTGCAAATCGGAAGATTTAAAGGGACTTTGGTGCACCATTTATCTTAAATCGGACGAAAATATATATGGGAGCTGTATCTAAATCGGCACCGATTTTTACGAAACTTTGCACACATCAATCTAGGCTAAATTCAGTACGCTGTGCCAAATTTCGTACAGATCGGACGATTTTTAGGGACTTTGGTTCACCATTTACCTTAAATCGGACGAAAATATATATGGGAGTTATATCTAAATCTGAGCCGATTTTCACGAAACTTTGCACACATCAGTCTATGCTGAATTTAGTACGCTGTGCCAAATTTCGTGCAGATCGGAATATTTTTAGGGACTTTGGTTCACCATTTACCTTAAAGCGGGCGAAAATATATCTGAGAAAAATCGGTTCAGAGTTAGATATAAATCTGAACCGATTTTTCTCAATTTCAACAGGGCTTGGGTCCTTGTCCAAATAAGTCCTTGGGCCAAATAAGTGACCTATGCCAATTTTCATCCAATGCGGATCATAAATGCGACCTGTACTTTGTTTACAATTTAACATGGACATACAGACGGACATGGATACATCGATTTAGAAAGTGATTCTATGCATATTCTCAAAAGGAACCATGTGTCTATCTCAAAGACTTAATACCCTGTACCACAGTGTGGTGAAGGGTATAATAAGAAGAAGAAAAACACAAATTAAAGTCAATACAGTAGAAAAAGGCCTCCCAACCGCAAAATACCGAATAAGGGGAGATGTCGTTATATGGAGGCTACCTTAAAAGTGAGCCAATATTTATTTTTGGTTGGAAGATTTGCTACCCAATGTCCAAATAATGTGTGGTTACAGTTATATGGGGGTTGTCCTAAAATGTGGACCAATATTAATTATTATTGATAGCAAATTATAGCCATTTCGGTTGAAGACGTTCCAAATATCCCTATAATACCGAATAAAACAGAATACCTACAAAAATCGTAGTTATAGCCTAAAAGTATGCTATGTAATTTTATTATACCCTTCACCACACTGTGGTACAGGTTCCTTTGTGCATATGTTTGTAACAGGCAAAAGGAAACGAGATAGACACATGGTTCCTTTTCCATGTTAAATTGTAAACAAAGTACAGGTCGCTTTCTATGATCCGAATTGGATGAAATTTGGCATAGGTCACTTATTCGGCCCAAGGACGAACCCTATTGAAATTGGGAAAAATCGGTTCAGATTTAGATATACCTCCCATATATATATTTAACCGATTTAATGTAAACGGTCCCTATATATCTTTCGATTTGCACGAAATTTGGTACAGCCTAATCATTTAGGTTTAGAATGATGTCTGCCAAGTTTCGTGAAAATCGGTCCAGATTTAGATATAGCTCCCACATATATATTATTTGATTTGCACGAAATTTGGTATAACGTGCTGAATTAAGCCTAGAGTGATGTATGCCAAGTTTGGAGCAAATCGGTCCAGATTTAGATATAGCTCCCATATATAGTTTTGTCCGATTTCATGCAAATGGTGCCCAAAGTCCCTATATATCTTTTAATTTGCACGAAATTTGGCATAACGTACTGAATTAAGCCTAGAGTGATGTCTGCCAAGTTTCGTGAAAATAGGTCAAGATTTAGATATAGCTTCCATATATAGTTTCGTCCGATTTCATGTAAATGGTGCACCAAAGTCCCTATATATCTTTCGATTTGCACGAAATTGGGCATAACGTACTTAATTGAGCCTAGAATGATGTCTGCCAAGTTTTGTGAAAATCGGTCCAGATTTAGATATAGCTCCCTTTTATTATAGATTGATTTTAAGTAATTGACGTACTAAGGAACCAATGGGAACAAAACGTTCTGAAATTAGTATAACCTAACTTGTGACAGGTTTGTTTGACATCGCTCAATATTTGGATAGAGCTTCCATATATATTTTCGCCCGATTTCAAATAAATTAGGCAATCAAACTCATGTTAGTCAGATTGACATCAAATTTTGCACAACTTACAAAATTGAGCATAGAATTAGTTGCGTTTTCTAGAAGTGCAGACATAGCCCAACGGATGACCTATTTATATTTGTTTGAAGTCGATTGACATACTTTATGGATAGATCTAGGTAGATTCACATTTAGATAAATATCACATTTTTTTCATCCAATTTTATGTTATAGTCCTGTTTAATATACCCATAGTGGTGAAGGGTATCATATAGTCGGCCCCGTCCGACTTTACTACTTTCCTTACTGGTTTTTTATTAAATTAAGTATGCCCAATAACTATTTTCGATATTAGACTATTTCATCCTTGCAGCAATTTCATACCAAAATAGAAATTAATATTTTTGCTTCATATCCCTAGTACCTCTTCTACCTACACAAATTACAAGAAAATATTCAAATTTAATAATATCCGTTTGATATCCTTAGGACTTATTGGCGTTTCAGCTATCAATTTCCTATTATTAAACTTCTATCATAACTTGCATACACACCAACAAAAATTGTTTCAAATTCATTACCAACATACATACATACATACATATTGAGTACGTACATACTCAATATTCAATGTTGTGACGTACAAGATAAAAACTTTTCTTTGTTTATTTCCGATTTCATTCATAAATTTTCGTACAGACTATGACGTTGGTGTGAATGTTTACATAGAGAAAGTAAAACACAACAACTCCAACTTCAATGTACCACAGACAGCATCAGTACAACCACACTAACATTACTGTCACTCACCTCCAGAACCTGATCATCCCATACGTTGTGTGTTGCACCCGAACTTCGTGTACGCAATACACGATGTCGGTTGGTCAATGAATGACGATAATGATGGGGATGTTGGTGTCCATGGTGTTTGTGTCCAGTGCCCAAGCCATAACTGAGCAATGCTGCTCCACCAACTGGCAGGCCACCACTTGCCGCAGCAGCAGCACCACCACCAGTTGCTATTGCTGTATTATATGGAGCCATGCTACCGCCCATACCCAGACCAGCCATGAGATATGGATTGTAAGATGAGTGCTGGAATTGAATAAAAAGAAAAGAGACTAATATATAAAACTAAGACACTTTCCAAGAGAAAAATTCAGAGAGTAAAAAAGAAAAAATGTGACTAAAAATCAATATTTTTGTCTTTTTGTTTACCTTTCTCTGCTGCATACGTTCCCTCTCCCGACTGGCCTCACGTGCCAATCTCTCACGCATTTCACGCTCACGCCGTTTTTCGCGTTTGCGCTCCAAATGCTCCAGTTCATGTAAGTTTGGCAAACTACCCATTTTGTGTTTGTGTGTGTGTGGAGAGAGAGCGAGTCAATAGATGTCCTGCAGAAAATGAGAGTGAAGGTTGTTGACAAAAAAAGAACAACAACCACTACAGTTGCTTTATTTGCTTTATTGTTTTTCACGGATTCTCCCAAAGATATCCTGCTGCACTGTCCTCCTTCGTCCTATGACAAAAACGATGAATAGGACATAAAATCGGGGACAACAACAGAAATATGAGATTATCAGGCCACAAAAAGGGACGGTTGGTCGAATAAAGAATCCAAACTTGTGAGAAATGTTGCTAACATGGTTGTTGTTGTGGTTGTTTTTGACATCTGACCACTTATTTCTTGCATATCACCCTTCATTCTTATGATGGGGTCTGAGGTTATGTTTTGGTTGCGGTTGTTTTAGATATTGTGGCTAACGTCGTTCGTTGCCTTGGCAATGTGGTCGTCTCCACGTAGCACAAAAAGAGTTAATTAAAAGCTTCAAACTCTCATTGTTGTTAAACAGGACATTTTAGTGTTGTAATATTCCAAACGTCCTGCCATGGTTATGGCGGCACTGATAGTCTTCGGGATGACGTTGATTTAGATGTTCGTAATGAGAATAACATTTTCATAGTTACACAAAGTCAATGGCTATGTAGATGAGTAGACAGGACCTGCAAAGGAAAGAGGATACCATCAAAATGGGGTAAATGGATAAAATGAATTGTTAACAAGTTATAATGATGTTGTTGTTGGTTTTTTTCATTTTTAATAATGGCTTCATAATTAAAAGTGACAACAGACATTTGGCGCTGGCATAGGTCAAAGTTTTTTTTTTGCTTTGTTATTATGAACAAAATGAAGAATTTCATAATAGTGTTAAATTTAATGAAGGGGAATGGAAAAAGGTTAAATTGTAGATTTTATAAAAAAAACAATAACTCCGCCGTTTCAATTAGGAAACCCATGTTCAGTACAGGTTTTCGAAAATGAAACCTTATTCAATCAGCTTGCATGGATATTAGCCAGGTTTATAAATGTTTCCATAAAGGCAAGAGGGTGGCTTAAGGGGACCCCCATTCTCGGGGTTAAAAATTTTGTTGATTTAATTCGAATCTACCCTAATTCAAGAATGTCCCTACAAAATTTCTAGTGTAAATCTCAAGAACTCTTGAAGATATAGCCGATTTATTGTGTCAGCATCAAGTGACGGCTTAAGGGTTTCTCAAACTTTAAACGCGTTTTTCTCTAAATGAATGGCAGGCACGATAACTCAAAAGCTAATACCCCAATCGATTCCAAATTTTTATACCCTTCACCACACTGTGGTACAGGGTATTATGTCTTTGTGCATATGTTTGTAACAGGCAAAAATAATTGAAATAGACCCATGGTTCCTTTTGAGAATATGCATAGAATCACTTTCTGAGTCGATTTATGTATGTCCGTCTGTCCGTCCGTCCATGTATTTTTGTTAACAAAGTACAGGTCGCATTTATGATCCGATTTGGATGAAATTTAACACAAGTCACTTAATTTGCCCAAGGACTAACCCTATTGAAATTGGAGAAAATCGGTCCACGTTTAGGCATAGCTCCCATATAAGGGTACCCCCAATTTTTCGGTATTTTGAGGTTCTTGAGCGCGTTTTTTAACTGAATTCGCTGAAATTTGGTACTTTGAGTTCTTATGGGGTAGCAAATCTCCCTACAAAAAGTTATAAATAATGGTTCATTTTTTCGGATAGCCCCCATATAAGGGTACCCCCAATTTTTCGGTATTTTGAGGTTCTTGAGCTCGTTTTATAACTGAATTCTCTGAAATTTTGTACATTGGGTTCTTATTGGGTACCAAACTACTCCACGAAAAATTATAAATATAGGTCCAGTTTTTCTGGTAGTCCCCATATAACGGTATCTCAAATTTTTGGAAATTTGGGTTTTCTGATCGTATTTTTCGACCGAATTGACTGTAATTTAGTACGTCGAGTTCTTATTAGGTAGCAAATCTCTCCACTATAAATTATAAATATTGGTCAATTTTTTCGGGTAGCCCCCATATAAGGGTACCCCCCAATTTTCGGTCTTGTGGGGTTCTTGAACCAAATTTTTGTATACCCTTCACCACACTGTCGTACAGGGTATCACGACTTTGTCCATATGATTGTAACAGACAAAAGGAAACGAGATAGACACATGGTTCCTTTTGAGAATATGCATAGAATCACTTTTTGAGTCGATTTAAGCATGTCCGTCTGTCCGTCCGTCCATGTATTTTTGTGAACAAAGTACAGGTCGCAGTTATGATCCAATTAGGATGAAATTTGGCATAGGTCACTTATTTGGCCCAAGGACGAACCCTATTGAGATTGGGAAAAATCAATTCAGATTTAGATATAGCTCCCATATATATTTTCGTCCGATTTGCACGAAATTTGGCACAGCGTAATGAATTAGTTATAGAATGATGTGTGCTAAGTTTCCTGAAAATCGGTTCAGATTTACATATAGATCTCATACATATTTTCGTCCGATTTAAGGTAAATTGTGCACAAAAGTCCCTATTTATCTCTCGATTTGCACTAAATTTAGTTCAGCGTAATGAATTAGTTCTAGAATGATGTGGGTTAAGCTTCCTGAAAATGGGTTCGGATTTAGATATAGCTCCCATATATATTTTCCTCCGATTTAATGTAAATGGTGCACCAAAGGCCCCTAATATCTTTCGGTTTGCACTAAATTTGGCACAGCGTAATGAATTAGGTCTAGATGTGTTCAGATTTAGATATAGCTTCTATATCTGACCAAATGAAAAATTTAGTATCAGTTGCAGAATGACGTGTTCATGGTTCCAATTTCATTTTACTGGTCCTTTAAAAATGCGACGTCTGTTAGGATTCATCTGTTGAATATACTCAAAGTGGTGAAGGGTATCATATAGTCGGCCCCGTCCGACTTTACTACTTTCCTTACTGGTTACATGTTTCTCTGTGAGTGTATAGCTACCGTATGAACTAGGATAAAGCCAATCGGTGAAGATCTTCCTTATTTTTATACCCTCCACCATAGTATGGAGGGTATATAAATTTTGTTTTTCCGTTTGTATATCATCGAAATATTCATTTCCGACCATATAAAGTATATGTATTTTTGATCAGCGTAAAATTCTACGACGATATAGCCATATCCGTCTTTCTGTCTGTCTGTTGTAATCACTCTAGCGTCTAAACGAATTGAGATAGATCGCCAAAATTTTGCATAGAGTCGTCTTTTGACTGCAGACAGGTCAAGTTCGAAGATAGGCTTTATCGGTCCACATTTAGGCAAAGCTCCCATATAAGGGTACCCCAAATTTTCGGTATTTTAGGGTTCTTGAGCGCGTTTTTCATCCGAATTCGCTGAAAATTGCTGCATTGGGTTCTTATTTGATATTTAATGTATCCACAAAAAATTATCAATAAAGGTCAATTTTTTCGGATAGCCCCCATATAAGGGTACCCCCAAATTTTCGGTATTCTGAGGTTCTTGAGCGCGTTTTTTAACTGAATTCGCTTATATTTGGTACATTGAGTTCTTATTGGGTAGCAAATATCCCTACCAAAAATTATAAATAAAGGTCCATTTTTTCGGATAGCCCCCATATAAGATTACCCCCAATTTTCGGTATTTTGGGGGTTTTGATAGCATTTTTCTTGGGCTTGTTTTATAACTGAATTCTCTGAAATTTTGTACATTGGGTTCTTATTGGGTACCAAATTACTCCACTAAAAATTATAAATAAAGGTCTAGTTTTTCTGGTAGTATTTTGGGGGTTCTGATCGTATTTTTCAACCAAATTGACTGTAATTTAGTACGTCGAGTTCTTATTGGGTAGCACATCTCTACACTATAAATATTGGTCAATTTTTTTTTGGTAGCCCCCAGGTTTTGAGGTTCTTGAACCAATTTTTTTTTTCTGGCACAGGATATTATGTTTTTGTGCATATGTTTGTAACAGGCAGAAGGAAACGAGACTGACACATACGACTTCTGTTAGGATTCATTTGTTGAATATACTCCAAGTGGTGAAGGGTATCATATAGTCTGTCCCGTCTGACTTTACTACTTTCCTTACTGGTTTATATTAAAATAGTTATCTGATTTATTCCGCGGTTTGAGTTTTGTTCTAAGACTCTGTTATAATTATTTCACCTGCGGAGGGTATTGAGATAAAAAATAGAAGAGGGGGGTTGGGGCTGGCCTTAATATAAGTTTCCCAAAAGAAATTTTAAATCAGCCAGCCACAATATAATTTATATTATATTCCGTCGATAATAAATCTGCATGCTGCATATCTCATTTCTTATAGAAATACACTTTTCCGTCCAACTGAGGAGAAGTGTTTCTACAAACAAAACCCACGCTCGGAAAACCCCTCCTGCTATGAAAAAGCAACAAAAAAGAAAACCAAACTCCCCAATTTTTACGACCCCGCAAACGTGTAATTGACCATGATCTGCCCTTTGAAAGGCTTAGTTTTCACTTTGGCGGATATACGCAAGAAGTACAAAGCCGATTACGCCCTGTATTATAGCTGCCATGAAACGAGACATGAATTTGGCTGCGGAATTATGGTTAACAGTAGAATAAAAGACCTCGTCTCCAGATTCACTCCAGTATGTAGATGAGCGAATTGCTATAATCCGTATAAAAGCGAAGTTCTTCTACATCAGTCTCATTAGCTCCAATGCTCTGACCGAAGACAAAGATGAGTAGACAAATGACATATTTCACGTGCGCCTAGAAACAGCATACGACCACTGCAAAAATCGGAAGGGAAAGTATCATTGGACCCACCATCGGAAAATTCAGCCTACATGAAGAAACATCCGACAGCCGTATGAGGTTGATTGACTTTGTGGCAACAAAAAACATGGTAGTTAGCCGCACCAGATTTAAGCATCTCGATATGCACGAAGCCACCTGGATTTCTCCCGATCAAGCAATGAGAAATCAAATTGATCATATTGTGGTAGACGGA